AAAAAAATAGAAAGATAGCTAATAGATTTGTGAAAATATGTTCAACTGCTCCATAGTTGAAGAAATGTCATAACAATGAGATTTTTTTCACCAAGTTTTATAAATCAGATAAAAAAGATTAATAATGCTCAAAGTTATCAAGAATGTGGGAAAATTGGGACTCCCATTCATTTTTTTTGAAAATCTAAATGGGGTTGATATAATAATTTTTTAGAGGAGTAGGTGGTGATATATATATCTAAACATATGCATAAGTAATTGAGATACCAGATCATAAGTCAGAAAATCTCCTTTTACCTTCCTTGGGGTGATATTGAAGGGCTTAGGCCCTGGAGCCAACTTCTTTTATAGAACAGAGTTTCACCAGCCATCAAGGAGATGAAATCAAAGATTTATTCCCTGATGATTAGAGATGTTGAACATTTTTTTCATGTGTCTGTTGGCCATTAGTCTATCTTCTTTTAAAACTTTTTGTTCATGTCTTTTACCCACTTTTTAACAGGGTTGTTTGTTTTTTTCTTGCTGATTTGCTTGAGTTCTTTACGGATTCTAGTTACCAGCCCTTTATCAGATGTATAGCATGCAAATATTTTCTCCCATTCTCTTAAGCTGTCTATTTACTCTATGGATTGTTTCCTTGGCTGTGCAGAAACTTTTTAATTTGATCAGGTCCCATTTATATATTTTTGTTGTTGTCGTGATTTCTTTTGGGGTCTTCTTCATAAATTCTTAGCCTAGGCTGATGTCTCTAATCATCAGGGAAATGCAAATCAGAACCACAATGAGATTATCACTTAACTCCAGTGGAAACAGTTTTTATCAAAAAGTCCCAAACAACAGATACTGGCATTGATGCTGACAGATAGGAACACTCATCCACTGCTGGTGGGATTGCAAACTCATATTATCTCTACAGAAAGTAGTATGGAGATACCTCAAAGAAGTAAAAGCGTTTGATTTAGCAAACCCACTGGATATTTATTCAAAGGAAAAAATGACATTCTATAAAAAAGACACCTGTACTCAAATGTTTACAGCAGCACAATTCACGATTGCAAAGTTGTGGAAACAACTCAAGTGCCCATCAATCCATGAGTGGATTAATAAAATGTGGTATATGTATACCATGGAATACTACTCAAAAAGGTGAACTAATACCTCTTGTATTAACCTGGATGGAACTGGAGACCATTTTTCTAAGTTAAGTATCACAAGAATGGAAAAACAAACACCATATGTACTTACCATTAAATTGGAACTGATCAATCAACACTTAGGTACACATATGGAAATGACATTCATCAGAGATCAAGCAGGTGGGAAGGGAGAGGATAGAATGGGTAAATTTACACCTAACAGGTACAGTGCACACCATCTGGGGGATAGGCACACTTATAACTTTGACTCAAATTGTGCAAAAGCAATTTATGTAACCAAAACGTATATACCCCTGTAATATTCTGAAATAATAATAGTAATATAAAGATCTATTCTCACATGGAATGGTTAGATAGAAAAGGGATATTTTTCTATATGTCCCAAGTCCATCTTCTTCTATTTTTAACTATTTCTTTTTTTAAAAATCCAATCTCTCAACCTCAAGCTCTTAACTAGTTTCCCTAGAACCACCTTTGTCCACCAAAATTCCTTTTGGACCCTAAACTCAGAATGATCTTCCTCAAAATACAAATGATGAAATATTCACCTCTTCCCCCTCCTTAATCTTTGTACTTGCTAAGAAACTTTTACCTGCTTCCTCTTGCTCTTACGGTAAAGACTGAAGAGCAAAGACCAAAATCCTTGACATAGCGTATGTCACCACCTCAGACTTGTACCACATTATCTTCATTGCCTGTACAATTGAGACTTCAACTTCCTCATTACTGGAACTCATGGTCCTGTCCTCCCAACAGGCTGCAGACCTGGCCTCTTTCTTTTCTCTATTTGATTCGTTAACTGTTACTCATTGATCACACCCTAGCTCTTCCCTGGCTAAGTCAAGAAATTCTTCTCTGATCTCCATGACTAGGTAAAATCCCCAGTTAAATGAACATTTGTAGCACTGTGATGCATTTCTTTTTCTTCGCACTAAGCACATTGGAACGTTATGTTTTACCAATTTAGTGATATGATTCATGCCTATTTCATCCGCTAGAGACCAAGCTGCATGAGTGCAAGACTCATGTCTGGTTTTCTCTCCATTGTGGCATCGTATCTCAAAAAGGCTCACTGAATGAGTGAATAAAAACATTGTTCTGTTTTCTACACATGGTGACAAGCTGGGTAGCAATGTAAGTAGGCATGAAGCAGTTTCCATCTCAAGTTTCTGATAGAGGCTTAAGTCTCTCCAAATGACCAGTGACTAAAGATGGGAGATTCAAAGTTTCAGGTTAACATAACCTTTTATTAACTCAAAGATGTCACTGTTTCAATGATCACAGGGGACTTTCCAAGATATTTTCACCCTGTTTCCCCACAGTAGTTAAAGCTACCCTTTTTCAGATGATTGAGTTGCACCTAGTGAGGGAAAAGATAAGGTGAACCAAGGTGGTGCCAAGTTTGCTCTGATTTGGGTGAGACTATAGTTTCATAGTCTCTGTTATTTTTAGGCTGCAAAGTTTTTCAAAATCAGTGTAAATTAGCTACCTAAATCATGTATGGGTTTTTCCTGAACCATGAACAGATGCAACATAGTCTACTCATTTGATGAAATACATGGAAATAATTTTTTAAAGCAAAAAATGCTTTTATACATATAGCTATCGTCAACTTTATTGGTTTTCCTTATAATTCTATCTGAATATAAGACAGAAGTACCTATTGTATATTTTTCTCACTATCTTCCCAAGGCAAGCAATTTAATTCAATTCAGTAAGGTTGAGTCAACTCTAGAAATTTGAATTTGGGGTCTTCACACTTTTATTCTAAAGATAATTAAAACATCCTAAAACAGATCTAGGAAAATATCTAATGATATAGTTTGCATAGT